TCCGTTGTATAGAAGTTGTTTGACCTTGTTTTCGCAACTTGGTCATATTGTTAGGAAGACTTATAGGAACCCACCTTGTACTGAGTCCATTGTATGCATAATTATTTCCAAAGTCGGACCGTGGACGCGGTCCTTAAATAATTTATTGCATCACAAGTAACATCACCCCCCTGCTTATTTGTATGGTGTAGTTTGAACCACATTGCCTCTGTTTAAGCCTAACAAATACAAAGTCCTCGATTTTAATTTAATTTAATGTTCTGACGCCTTTCTTGAAATATATATTTCGTATTTTATCTCATCGACCAGGAGATGCTTCAGAATCTCTCTGACAAACCAGATACCCTTGACACTTGTGGCGCTGACAATTCTTCTGCGGCTGGTTTTACTTGGTCTCAAACCGCATTGTCTGTTCGGCCTAACCAGGAACACGACCACACCAGTGCCGTTATGGATGACTCATCACATTCATCTATCTTGGCTGGTGGCGGCGGCCTTCTAGACATCGGTCGTCCTATCGCAAATGCTGTACAAATGGGCCCAGGAACTGTTAGTGGAGTAGTTACAACATCTGGTACCTCCGCTGTAGCTGGCATTTCATCTAGTGGAGAGGTGGGTGTGACTACTGGCTCTGGTCCCGGATCAGTGGCAGCTGCAGAGAGGTCGGCTTCTCTTGTCCTTGGTATGCTGGCCGCTATCACGGTGACAAATGACACAGACAACGGAAGTGGTAAGTCGGATTGATCACGGTCATTCGTGTAAGGTTCATAAGGATTGTCTTCTATTATTTGATCGCTTTCATGATCTCGCGACAGTTCTTTCCGGCTTTTATGGGCGAGATTTATTATTTTACAGTATGAAGGACATGATACCCATTTCAATCCAGATACCTAATAACACACATTGCTTGTCGTTGGCTGCAGAATTACTCTTGGCTTATGAGGCTTCGGTTTTCTATCTACATACTGGCCTGCTATATAAATTAGTTATTCATTTCTTAGTTATTACCTGCACTCTGGTGCATATTATTACTTTAGAAATCTTGCATCCTTTCAGATTTTCGGTAAAATTTTTTCGAATAAACCACTTTATAGGTTGGTTTTCTGCATTTAGCCTTATTCTTTCATACAGGATCTTAAAATATATCCAATACGCAATTAGTTTTTGTAAGCAGCACTAAAATGCTCTTTATTTTGACTTTCTAAGTCAGGAGGTTCGACTCGATTTTAAATAGACAATATGTATTATTAAGTAGCTAATTGGTGGTTATTTAGTCACTTTTTAAACTTATAAATTGATAAAATTATTATCAATCTGTCCTAGGGTATAGCCACTGGTTTAGAGTGGACTAAGTTAGAAATAGTAGATTTACTTGGAACCTAGAGTATAAGTAATAACGGATTGACTGTTGATTAGACATAAGAGTTTTTGCCATTCTTTATTTAATATTTTTATCGCCAGCCGGATATCTCACTTGTAGTTTAATGCTTAGCTAGAAACAAGTATCCGGGTCGTAGATTATCACTAATTACAACAGTTTCAAACAGCAGCATTCATTCTGCTTAGTATGAGCAGGTTTATTACCTTAATTACTGACGACCTTACTTATGTTAGAAGTTTTTTGACCTTGTTTTCGCAACTTGGTCATATTGGAAGGAAGACTTAAAGGAACGCACCTAGTCCGGAGTCCATTGTATGCATGATCATTTCCAAAGTCTGACCGTGGACGTGGTTCATTCCCATACGTTTCGCCGACATCGTAATCGGCATCGTCAGTGAGTCTCACCATTCTTAGCACCATATTACAGCTCGTCAAAGAGACAAGTGAAGCTGATCCTCTGACCAAACTTGTATAAACAGTTATGGTATCTCCCATTCTGCCCTGGCCTATTCACATTTCCTATATCCTCCGATCACGCCTTCACTGTCACAATTTTTTACTTGCTTAATTAAATGTGGTACGGTTTGCCCTTAGCAGATTTCATGAGAACCCTCCGTACTCCACACTGGCCTACTCACCCCTCTTCATCCTTGTGTTGTGAATGTTGATCAGTCTGCCATATTGTTACGCAATCCTCCTTCCATAGGTCTTACCACAGTCTCTCTCTTGCCCCGTAAGATCCGTCTGCCCTCTCCCTGGTTCACATATCTCACTCGACCCCTGCCATCCCATCTGTGCCACTTGAGGCGTTCTTCGCCCTT